TTATTAATTTATAATTTAGAAATCCCATAATTGAAATATCCTAACTGGTCTCCCTGCTTCTAGGGTTGCAGTCCCTGCCACCAGCAACACTGCAGTTCATTTTCCATTCTGTGGCCAAAATGTTTTTAATAAATCCCCAAAATCTGATCATGCTCATGCCTCTTCTGATTTGTGTCCTGGTTTACAACCATTGTCCTGGGACATTCTCAAAAATGCCCTGGATTGGACAATGATTTTATGATCACCATATACCTAACCTATCTTCTGCTTACATTTCCATCCTCCTTGGTCTTCATTCCTTCCTTGCCCCTACGTACTACTCTAGTCTCATTGAGCTTCTAAAAATTTTCCAAATTTGTTGTACTCACAGATTTTGCATGCTCTTCTTCCCTTCTCTCTGCCTGGCCAACTCCTACTGTCCAAGTCTCAGGCTAGATGCTGCTTTACACGGAAGTCTTCTTTAACACCAAGTTTATCACAAAGGTACCTCTTTGTGTTCTCATAGCATTTTGCATTTCTCCATTCTAGCTCTTGCCTCCTCCTTGTTTGAATTACCTGTTAATTTCTGTGGGTTCCCTACTGATCGAGCCTGTAAGCTCTATCAGGTCAGCGGTCACTTCTGCTCACTGCACAGTTGAATTTTGGTGCCTACCCCAGGGTCCTGCACATAATGACACTCAGCAAATATTTGGTGAATGAGTGAAGTAAAGCAACACATGCTGTTAGAATGATCAAAGTATGTATGCGGAAAAATCCTCTTCCATAATAAATCTTCAGGGAATGTGCCCAATTTATAGCTATAAACAGTACGTTGTCTTCTCGTCCCTGTTCATCGTGTTTATGATAGCGAAGGAAATGATTCTGTGTTCCTTTGATTACAAGTTCATTCTAGGACAGGATTTCGAGTTGGTACACACCATCAATTCCAGGAAGTCTTGCAGGTGATAATGTTGCAAAACAAAACGAACAGCTGTTTTCCAGACTTATCAAGCAGTTAGGGCTACTTTTAATCCAACTATGTAAGAGAGACTGGCTTTAAAATTATTTGCTTAGAAGTTAAAATTAAACTTACTCTCATAATTCTAACATATCTTAGATTGTTTAAGTTCCAAGTTCTATTCTCACGCTAATAAGAAGCAAACACAAAGTCTCACATACATCCAGTAGAACCATTTGTATTGCATTATATGCAAACTTGAAATTTTGTGCTTTCAGATGGTAATTTTTATACTGTTATTTGGTTTAACCAAAGAATCCTAACATCACAGCATTTGTTCCACATGCACTGACTAGAAAGGAGTTCTGCATCTATGTGACGATCTGTGGACATCATTCTATTAAATTAAATGGAAGGTTAATAGCTTTTTTCCAAATCAGAAATACTGATTTTCTGATTACCATACAATATACATTCACTGCAAAAAAAATCAGGAAATATAAAGAAGAAAATAAAAATAATCTATAATCCCACTTTTAGGTTTTTGTGTTAAACAGTATAAGGCATGTATTTCTAGGCTTTTTATCTACATATATAGTCATGTCAATACAAATTTTTTATAAAATGAAAATAGTGTCATTCCACACATGGCTGTAAAATGTGTTTTCCATCTCAAAAGTTTAGGGCTTTCAGGGAGAAAAATGGGTAAAGTAGAAGTTTCGCTTTCCAGTGTTTGGGGTGCTATAATTTCCCCTTCACCACCCCCATTAAGGAAACTTCTATAAAAACCTGTATTACTCTTTGAATCATTCAGGCCTCATTTGTAGGAATCAGAAACCATGCTAGCTATTTTAAGCAGGAAAAGATTTGATTATTAAAAATAGGTGTTTACAAGATTATTTATTGGAAGGTCTAGAAAAGTGGATCATAGGCTGGCCCTCCAGAAATAAGCCTGAACTGATGAACTGGACTGCCAGGGGGCTGCCCCTTCCCCATGATCAGAGAGAGAGAGCAGCAGAAAGTAGCTGCTGGAGTGACTGACTCCATAGACACATCACCCTAGCTGACGTGTGGGGACAGTTTTGTCACCACCATTGCTATAGCCCCTAGAGCCAGACAGCTTCTGCTTGATCCATGCTGCCAAAAGATGGACCCTTGCATCCCATCCTTCTTCTTGCTTCTCCACCCTCATTAAGCTAGTGGCACTGAAAGCTCAAAGGTAAACAAACAAAAGTCTCCATGACTGTGCCCACTATCAGAAATCACATAGATTTCCTCTGCCTCACTCTGTCTTCAGAAGTTCGTGTTAGTGCATCTGATTGGCAGACCTTAAATCACATCTGTAACCCTCAACAGAGTCTAGGAAAGACAATTTTTAGGTGTCCAGTCTCTGCACTAGAGGGCAGCGCAAGCCCACCAGTCAGGAGGCTGGAGTGGACGCTGACCACCACCATATTCACCACACATCAAGGCTTTGGATGTTTGGTTTGCGTTCCTTTTGGATGCATTACTGTACAAAGAAGAACATAAAGGCAAGATAAAAAGGGACGATTTATCTGAAGGGCTAATATATGTCACTACAATCTATTTAAGCTCTCTCTATTGCTAGTTATTTACTTTTTTCCATTTTTCATATAAATAGCATTTTGCTAAATTGCTCCTATCAGAGCGACTAATAGCCTTCTCCATTTTGCTAAACTCAGTGGTCAGTTCTCAGGCCTTGTTTTACTTGACCTATCAGGACATTTGACATGACCGCTCATTCTCTCCTTGAAACGCCTTCACTTGATTTCCAGAACCTCACACTCTCCTGGTGTTCCGTCTAGCTCACCCGCTCAGTCTAAGTCTTCTTACTGGTTCCTCCTCATCCCTCCGACTCTTAATATTGAGTGCCCGGGCGCTCAGTCCTGGGACCCCATCTCTTCTTTGTTTACTTTACCCCCTTGCTCATCTCTTCCAATTCTCTGGCTATAAACACCCTGAGCTCCAAACCCATGCGTACAACTGTTGCTTGGTTAAGATGTACTTTTAGATGCTTTATAAACATCTCAAACTTAACAATTCCAAAATGGAACTTCCTCTCTTTCCCAGTACACAGATTCCACTCACAGTCTTCTCCACTGTAGTTCATGGCACCTCCATCCTTCCACTGGCTTAGGACAAAAACCCAGGAGTCATCCTTGACTTCTCTCTTTCTCTTACGTGCATGTTTAATCCATCAGCAAATCCTGTTGATTCTACCTCCCAAAATATCCACAATCCAACTATTTCTCTCCATTCCCACTGCTTCCTGCTGCTCTAAACCACTGTTATTTCTCCCTTAGACTATTGCCTCAGCTCCTCAGTGGTCTCCATGCTTCCATGCTCGCCTCCCTAGAGTCTCAAAGTTAGATCCTGTTACTCTTCCGCTCAGAATGCTCCAGTGAATTTCTGTCTCACGAGGGATCAAAGTCCAAATCCTTACAACCACCTGCAAGGCTCTTTCTGACACACCCACCACCACTGCCACCGCCTCCCTGGCTCCCTTTCCTGCCGTTCTCATCCTCACTTCCTTTGCTCTAGCCTCCTTGATGCTCTTAAGCACACCTACCCCTGAGGGTCTCGGCGATTGCCGGCCCTGTGCATGGAATGCTCTTTCCCCAGATCACAAAGCTCTCTCATCTCCCACAAGCCTGCTCGGCCATCACTACTCAGCCAGGCTGTCCCTGATCACCCTATTTACAGTTGCAAACTGACCTCCCCTCAGGCCCTCCAGACCCTACTTCTCTGCTTTACTTCTCTCCAGAGCACCTTACACTTTCTAATAGACTACATAAATTCTTTCTTTTATTGGATGTTCCCCCATAAATGAGAAAATAGATTTTTTTTTCCTTTTTGTCTTTTTTCGTGTCCGGCAACGGATCGCAACCCTCAGTGTCGCACCCATACCGGACCGGGACCGGCAACGGGATTGCAACCCTCGGTGTTGCCCCCGCACCTCGCTCAGCCAGTGAGCGGCCGGTCTGTATGTGGGAACCGAACCCTCGGCAGGAGCGCCACCGCGCTTCCCAAGCGGTGCACTGTAGCAGTGCGCCACCGGGCCGGCCCAGAAAATAGATTTTTTTAATACTTTGTTTATTATTGATTCCTCAGTGTATGGAACCATGTCTGGGCATATGGTAATTGTTCATTAAGTATTTGTGGAATGAATTAATTTCTTTACACATGCATCCTTGTGCACTTGTTGAATTGTCTATTGGGAATTAATTCTTAGGGTCAAAGGTATGCACACATTGCTCAGAAAGGTTTTAACAATTTGTTCCTGCACCAAAAGTCCATGAGAATGTCATTTTCCTGACACCTTTGCCAACACCATGCCCTGGTCATAGTGGCCTTTTTTTTCCTTGAACTCACCATGGTCATCCCCACTCAACGCATTTCATTGACTACTCTCTCCTCCCGAATACTCTCCTGTCATACCTTTGTCTGATTTAATTCTTCTTAGTATTCAGGATTCACTTCAAATGTCACTTCCTTAGAGAGGCCTTTCCTGACCATCTGCTATAAAGTAACCTCCCAGTCACTCCATATCACAGCATCCTATTTTATTTTTGTCATTTCCAGATATTTTCTCATTTGTACATTTATTCATTTGTCTATACTTTTTCTAAAATGTAAGCATCATAACAGCAGGAGCCTGTTTGTCTTTTTCAACACCCTACTCCAGTAAATGTGTGCTTGATAATGGAATAAACACTGGATATGATATTTTCATTGTTACCAATTTGCTAGGTGAAAATGGATTTAACACGATTACTTTTCTGAATCGGTGAGGCTGAACATCTTGTCAAATATGAAAGCCTTCTTTTGAATAGCAAATGCTGAGATGATATAGAAGTTTAAATATTTAGTTAGCATATTTGTTTTAGATATGCTATATCAGATTTCTTATACTGCTGATAAGCTGCCTAATTTAAGTTTCTGAAGTGTCCTTTTTCATTTATGCCAACATTAGTATTCAGAAAGTACCATTCCTTTTGCAAAATTAGACTCATATACTGTTGTTTTCTTTGTGTCTTCACAGCTTTTAGAAAGAACCAACAGTGGTTTTGAAGAATCAGATTCCGGTGCTACCAAGAGTCCACTCCACTTAGCTGTAAGTGAGATATTATGGGCAGCTTTGCTTGTTGCAAAAAGAACTTAAGCATTCCCAAAGCTGGGCTTTCCTCAAGATGTAAGCACAGTAATGTGGTGTTTAATGATAATGAGGGTAGCACATGGTTAAGGCACAGGCTGCAGAGAGAAAGATTGCCTGCCTTCCAATCCCAGCTTCACCCACTGGTGGCCTTAGACATGTTACTTATGCTGCTTTGAGCCTTGGTGTCCCCATTGGTAAAATGAAAGCAAATAAAAAGAGGTAATATACTTATAGTTCTTACAACAGTGTACTTAATAAATTATTGTTATAAATGTTAACAATCTTTAAAATTCAGAGAAAACATTTCAGGTTAAAAGATTTGATTATATAAGACAACAGTGTACAGTGTTAAACCCATGGATAATCAAATATCATACTTTTGAATACCACAATTAAAAATTGTCAGATTTTTTAAATTCTAAAGATATTTATTTATCCAACCAATTTATTCCAATTAACTCCATTGGAATTGATTTTTTTTGTTTGTTTGTTTTTTGTTTTTTGTTTTTGTTTTTTATTTTTCCTTTTTGTCTTTTTTTGTGTCCGGCAACGGATTGCAACCCTCAGTGTCGTGCCCGTACCGGACCGGCAACGGGATCGCAACCCTCGGTGCTGCGCCCGCACCTCGCTCAGCCAGTGAGCGGGAACCGGTCTGTATGTGGGATCCAAACCCTCGGCGGGAGCGCCACCGCGCTCCCAAGCAGCGCACTGTAGCAGTGTGCCACTGGGCCAGCCCCTGATTTTTTTTTAAAGACTTTTAAAGTGCTTTTTTTAATTGACATGTAATAATTGTACATATTTATGGGATACAGAGTGATGTTTCAATACATGTATACTATGAGTTATGATCAAATCAGGGTAATTAGCATATCCATCACTGCAAACATTTACCATTTCTTTGTGTTGAGAATATTGAACTCCTCTCCTCTAGTCATTCGAAAATCTATGGTAAATTATTGCTAATTATAGACACCTAGCACTACTATAGAACACTTGAATTTGCTTTTCCTATCTAGCTGTAATTTTGTATTCATTAGACAATTTCTCCCTATTCCTTCCCCCCTCTAGTAACTTTAATTCTACTGTCTACTTCTATGAGCTCAGTTGTTTTAGCTCCTACATGAGTGAGAACATGTAGTATTTATCTTTTAGTGCCTGACATTTCACTTAACATATTGTCTTCCAGGCTCGTCCATGTTGCCATGAACTACAGGATTTCATTTTCTTTATGGCTGAGTAGTATTCCATTGTGTATATGCACCATATTTTCCTTATCTATTCATCTGCTGATGGACACTTGCATTGATTCCATATTTGGGCTTTTGTGGGTAGTGCTGCAATAAACATGGGGGATAAAGATATCTCTTCAGTATAAAGATTTCCTTTCCTTTGGATAAATACCCAGTAGTGGAATTGCTCGATCATGTGGTAGTTCTATTTTTAGTTTTTTAAGGAACCTCCATTTTCTTTTCCATATGGCTGTACTAATTTACATTCCCACCAACAGTTTATAAGAGTTTCCTTTTCTCCATATCCTTGTCAGCATTTGTTATTTTTTGTCTTTATGATAGGAGCCATTCTAACTAGAGTGACATGATATCTTATTGTGGTTTTGATTTGTATTTCCTTAATGATTAGTGATGCTGAACATTTTTTTATATACCTGTTGGCCGTTTGTATGTCTTCTTTTGAGAAATGTCTATTCAGGTCATTTTCCCATTTTTAAGTTAGAGAGTTATTTGTTATTTACTGTTGAGTTGTTTAAGTTCCTTGCATATTCTGGATATTAATCCCTTGTCAGATAAATAGTTTGCAAATATTTTCTACCTGTCAGGGTTTTTAAGCACAATATTGTGAGAGCAAGATGAGCACATGCAGAACTGCAACTGTGCTCTTTCTGCCTGGACTCGAAATCAGGGTCTTGGAGGTCTTTGTCTCTGATACTTATACTGGGAGGGGAAGATGTCTGGTATTTCATCACCAGCAAAACTTCCTCTTCACATCCCGGTAGTTGAAGGGAAATGCAACATCTCAGAGTGATGATCCCCAAACTCTTCATGAGGGTGACCAGCTGGAAAGTGCACCCACCACTGTGCCTCCGATTGTATCCTGCTAACAGCTGGCCATCAGCCACTGTTTCCTAGGAACCTTGCAGACTGGCAGCCACACCCAGCAGTGGCCAGCTCACCTGGCCAAGGTGGTGCTGGACAGTGAGCACTTGGGTCACGTCCGAAGGGATGGTGTTTGGATGCTTCTTGGTTTGGTAAAAGCCCAGGGCAGGGTGCTGGGAAGACTGGGAAGGGGCTGGGTCTCTGGTTAACTGTTGTTGTGGCATTTCACTTAAAACCATGCATGCATAAGCACTTCTTCAGTGTCATTCTGAGGAAAAATGGAGATGGAGAGTTTGGAGAGAAGAGAGGAGTGTTTTATTAACAGGAATACAGAGGCATTCAGACAAGGCGACAGCGGACATAGCATGAGGGTTGGAAGTATCCAGAATCGATCACACTCGTGGAGCCCTCCCTTACTGCCCTTCTCCCCTCATGCCCACCAGCACACCTGCTGACACCCACTCACACATCCTCTGACACACCTACCAGCACGTCGACTACACACACACACACACACACACACACACACGCACACTTTGAGTCCAGTGAAATCAGGCTAAAATGTGCATCGACCTCGGTTTCCAGAGATGGGCCAGAGTAGGAAAGATGGATGGACAGTGGGATATTTATATGCATAAAGCTGCACATCCCAGTTGGCTCTTAGTACAGGTTGCTTTAAAGGTTGCTCTCTAGAATCTCTGCCCAACCATCTGCTGTGCCTGGGGAGGTTACCGCAAAGCTGAGTGTTCACAAATATAGCACTTGCTCCCCCAAGAGAGGCCTCTGTGGAGAGTGAGCTCAGATGGGAATCCTCATGAACTTTGAAAGTGGGCTTGATTGCACTGCCAAGCCTGCTGAGAATTCTTGGCTTCCAAAAATTCTACCATCTCTCATTCATTTTTTCCCCAAAATTACTTGTTGAGTGCTTACTGTGTGCCAGGTATTCTGCTAAGCACTTCCAGTTGTATGGAGACAGCATGGTGATATTACTAGAAGGAGTTGGGCTTTGGTCGTTCTGCAGCTGGCAGAGGCCTGGGAAGAACACACAGAGAGGAGGTCACAGCTGCCACTCTTTTCATGAGCAACTCTCCTGGACATGGTTTTCCCACCTTAAATTAAAGGGAGTGAGTTAGTCAATGATCTCAAAGACCCTTTCCAATTTGGTAGTTTATTTAATTGTTTGTTGTGCATCTAGCCCATGCACCTAACCTCCTGCATCTCAGTTTCCCCACCCATACTATAGTAGAATAGCAGTACCTCCTCAAAGGGCCATTGTGAGGGTTGCATGAGTTAATGCATGTGAAGCAATTAGAACAGTGCCTGGCACGTGTGTGCAATCAGCTAGCTTATCATTATTAACATCCATATCATTCTTTCATTTGACACACAATGACTATGAATAGGGCCAAGCACTACTCCAGGAGCTGGAGATGTTGCAGTAAACAAAACCCAGCCTCTGTCCTTGTAGAGTTTCCAGTCTAGGAGAGACAATAGGCAAGTAAATATCTAGCATTATGTTAAGTGAAATAATCCAGGCACAGAAAGAGAAATACCACATGTTCTCACTCACAAGTGGGAGCTAAAAAAAATAAACAAATAAACAAAAAAAGAAAGAAAGGCTAATCCAACAGTCACAATAATTAGTTGAACTTTCAAAAGGTGAGAATGAAATTGAGGTCACCAGAAGTGGGGAAGGGGGAGGGGGAAGTTAGCGAGAAATTGGTAAAGGGCCACAAAAAATGATTACATTGTATAATGATAAACATAGTAATTATCCTGATTTGAGGATCATGTATTGCACACAGCTATTGATATTCAACACTGTACCCCACAGATATGTACAATTATGTTTGAATTTTAAAAAATAAATTAAAAATAAAATAAATGAATAAAGTGATCATGTCATCTCAAAAAGGACTGGTGAGGAAAAATCCTTTCCTAGATAAATTATGTTAAAGACAATAATATCTGGTAAAAATAAGATTGAATACAACCACCTATAAAAAATTAATTGGACTGATAGGAGATCCCTTAAAAGTAACACTGGACACAAAAGAAAGTAGAGGAATATTTTCAAAATATTGAAGAAAAAACTTTGTACCGAGAATGTTATATGCAGCCCATGGCCACTTAAATGTTAGAACCACATTTTCAAGCAGAGGAATCCTCAGAACATGCATTTTGGAAATATTCTTGCAAGATATACTCAAATGGGAAGATAAAAAAATCCAGAAGGATATTGCAAGAGATATGGGAATTAAAGAAACTAAATAACTTCATAAGCTTATTAATTTATTAACCAAAGAAAAGAAAAACATATTCATATTAACACAGAACTAAAGTCCTAGATAATACCAACATGATGAGCATGGGGAGGGAGAGCATGCTAAAGTACTTGTCTTTTTATACAGATATTTATGTTTAAGAACATAATAGAGTAAATAAACAGAAACATTGGACTTAGAATATGTGCAATTAACATAAGGAAAATAATAAATATCTAGCATGACAGATGGTAATATGTGCTGCAGGTGCTAAGGAGAAAATGAAATGGGATCAGTGAGATACAGAGTATTGAGGTGGCAGACAGTGTAGCATAGAGTCGCACATTTGAACCGACCTTAAGAGTTACCCAAGTTTATAACTGACAGAGAGTGTTCTGGGCATAATTGCAAAGTCTCTGGGTTGAGAGCATGCTTGGCATGTCCACAGAACAGCAAAGGGGATGCTGGGGCTGGGGTAGAGAGGTGGGGATGGGGTGTGACATGTTATGGAATGTGTGGGGAGCTGGGGAGAGGGCTGCCACAGATCTCACAGGGCTTCCTGGTCCACTGTAAGAACTCTGAG